GCTTGGTTATGGTTAGTTAAACTTTGTAGAATTTTAACCATTGATATGTTAATGAAAAAAGAGCATATTATTGTAAATGTTTGTATTCTTTGCAAACAGGGTGCAGAATCTGTTGATCACTTGTTTCTGAGGTGTCCGTTTGTTAAAGCAATTTGGTGTTGGGTGGAGTTAAATGGAAATTGTCCTGAGGGGATTTATAGTCTTTTGGGTTATTGGATGACCGCTGGGATGGGGAAAAAAGGCAGAATAATTTGGAAAATTATTGGAGCTACTGTCATGTAGGAAACATGGAAGAAGAGGAATAGGAGATGCTTTGAAGACAAATGTTTGTCTGTGAATGAATTGATAGAAAAAATACGGGTGACAGTAGCAGAAATTGTGAGTATTAATGATAATTGGTGGGGTGTTTCTAGATTAGACATGTTGCATAATCTCAGTGTGTTAATTAGACAAAAAACAGATAAGAAAATCGTGATAGGCTTATGGAAGAGGCCTAGATATAGTTCGATCAAACTAAATTTTGATGGGTGTTCTTTGGTAGGTATAGTGAGAGATTGGGAAGGCAAAGTCTTATTGAAATTTCATGGTTCTATAGGAGTAGTAACTGCGAATGAGGCTGAGCTTCGAGCAGTGTTACAGGGGATTAAATTAATAAAGGATTTCAATAAACTTTTGGAAATTGAAGGGGACTCCATGAATACAGCGAAATGGTTAAATAAAGGGACGGAATAGACTCCATGAATATAGTGAAATGGTTAAATAAAGAGATGGAATACCCATGGAGGTTTCATAGTCTTATTGATGAAGTGATTGGTTGTTGCAGGGAGATCCTGTGAGACACATCTATCGTGAAAGAAATATGGAGGCTGATGGCTTATCAAAAGGCGACTGTTTCTGAGTTGGTTGTTGAAAAGTTTGATTAGATGTTGGTTTTTTTTTGTTTGCTTTTACTTCTGTTATTTGGTTTTGTTTCCGGTTTAGGTTGTAATTGCTAATTGTTTGAAAATATATGATACAAGTACCTTTCATCAAAATAAAATATAATAAAACGGTATAGACGTAATTTTCCCTTCTTTAATACTTTCATGGTTGTTAGACTCATCGTGATAACCCACGACAAATTTAAAGTAGCCCATGTGTTCCCATCTACTATGGTCTATTGACGAAAAACAAACATTGTACCCTACCCATTTAAAGAACATGGACAAAAGACGGATTATGTACCATAAGATTGTTTATCTTGCACAAATTACCTCGAGCTTTCATATTTGAAATCCGATAGCTCAATGTGTTTAAACATCCATCTCATAGCGTACTTTGGATACCTGAATAACCATTGAAGCACTTTGGATACCTGAATAACCATCGAAGATCGTTGAAGTGTCTTAACTCTTGGAAATATAGAGTGTTGAGGACAAAAATATTTGGGGGAGTTACCATTTTTATCTAGGACCAAGAGTTTACCTAGGACCAAGAGGCTTGATATTAAGAAATTAAGTAAAAGCCCCTCGTAAGAAGGCTTGCAAGAAGGCTGGCTTGAGATTTCTTGTAAAAACCCCAACCCCTGTTAGTTGATGACACAAGAAGAATATTTCAATTTTTTTTTATTCCATAGATTATTCCTCTTATTGTATGCACAAAAGGGTAGGAGCCATATGAAATGGAAATCTCACATACAGTTCTAGTAAGGATTCAAGAAATATTGATTTATTTGATTTTTTATTATTCTTTTTATTTTTTTTTACCTAGTCTATAAAAGAATGGTAGGTTATTTCAGAAGTTTAGTCTATGACTTTTCCTTCTCTCTAGTTCTACTCTTAGTGTTTTCTCTCTCTTTCTCAAACCCCCCAAATATTCAGGAGATGCAAGCACAATTGAATCGTTAATATTGCAACCTCAAACATTTCAAGACTTTTTGAGGCCTCCAAGTCCACAATATAAATCAGGGGCATGACTTATAACATGTTCATGAATGAAGAATGTTTTAGTATTGTCAAAAAAAAATATTTAATGTTTAGCATCAACCAGTAGACATTCTTATTCATCTAATTTTATTGCCATATGTATGAATCAAAAGCCAGTACAAAGAATGGTTACTGGTACTGCTATTAAAACCTAGGCCAATACTCCCTTTGGAGGCATTTGGCATTAGTTTTACATGACATTCCATAGTCACTGATCATACAGTAGCCCACCCTTTTGATTTAAGAGAGCGCGTATGGTTCATTAAAACAAGGATCATAGAGAGAAGTCTTCTCTCTATTACAGTGGAAAACACGTCACGGTGGTAAAAGCCGCTTCGTAAACCTCGATGCAAGGTGTTGTTCAGGACCTATCAACTGAAGCTCAAAAGAAATTAAAGTAACAGTGATAAGGAAATAATTTTTCATTGGGAAACATCCACTCTCTATCGTTTCATCTGTCACGTTGCTGAAAATTATGAGACAGGTATTGGCATAAGGAGCTACCCTTTCTCTCTCTTGGGTTTTTGATTCCCAGTTCTCGCAGACAAAGAACCACTAAAACGTCTCCTTGACTTTTCAGACTGCACCTTTTCTTTCAACTTCTCCAATGCTGTTAGGATTCACAATAGGGATTAGCGCAAGGCAGAAAAGTAAAAGGGGTCATCCCGTGCATTAAAGGAATTTGTACTTACCAGAAGAATAAACAGGCCTGAGATTTTCAACAGTTTCGACAGGTATAGAGTAGGTCCTAGATCCATCAGAACCTGCCTTCTTCAGCAGCTTTCTATATCGCTTGATCTGTTGATCAAAAAAAGAAGAAAGAAAATGCTTGATCCGTTGATCAAAAAAAAGAAGAAAGAAATCGCTTGATCTGTTGATCAAAAAAAAAGAAGAAAGAAATGGAGAAAACAAAATTTAGAACATGAACAAAATGTGCAATAGATTATTTATAATGCATTATCAGCTGCACCGGACTGAAATGGAATGGGCGGACCACTACAAATGAAAAAATTGTTCAAGTGAGAACTTTCAATCACCAGTTGAAACTCTATGCCTACCACTGAACACTACACAATGCCTCATAAATTGAGGAGAGCGAGCATACTATGCTCCCCCAGAGCAAATTGTGCGCTACTCCCTCAGTCAAAAGACCTACTTGGGAGAATTTTTTCAGTTTGAAATTTTAGGAACCACCTAAGAATCAGTATACAATAATTTGAAAAAAAAAAAAAAATTTGAATTTGGAGTTTTTTTGGTACTTAGATCTCACCTTTCAAAAATTGGACAATCTCTGTTCAATCTTGAGGCATTATTTTTTCCTATCACATAGAGAGAGTTCAAGTACGAATTCTTGTTTTTTCTTTCTTTTTGTTTTCTTTAACTGAGGTTAATCTATGGTTGAAGAGGTTATATTCCCAAAATTTGCGATCCTAAGATTACTCTTTTATTGTGACACTAGTGCTCTCAACAGCAAATTAGACACCACTTAGGCATCAATTAGAACCCAGTTGATTAAGAAATGCCACAATGGTTACACACGTATGCACACTACAATAAAACAATTGGATGTCTCAACTATGGGTATGGTTTCGATAAGGTCGCAACCTTAAACAATCCAATTAAGGCGCGCCTCTAAATTTTATCATAAATATAATTTTGGTATCAATATTTTTTAAGATGGCTTGAGAATCTATTTTCATCTCTAATCATAAAACTTTAAACGCTAACAATGGTTCAAATCAAGTAGATCTATAAACACCTGAAAATCTTGAAAATGAACGGTCCAGATAATGTGTTGCAAGATACACTATTTCTCGGACTTGAAATCTTTTTTTCTTTTCATATTCAATCATCTCAATGTCGAGATGATCAATTAGAGGGGTTTTCCAACATCAAACAACCTTTTATGATGGATTTTTGAGGTGCACCTTTAATTCTACATTTTAAGGTTGCAACCTTATATAAACTTTTCCCTTCAACTATTGCTAGAAGTCCTACCTCAATTCATCAAAAACAATTCTCGCATATAATTTTTAAAAAATAATTAATTTTATGGAATACATGAAATGACAATAATATTATCATATTTTTTTTAGACATTAATTATTATTTTTTAATGATTTTATATTTAACAAATTTACAGCAAGATAAAATAATTGGATTTTTTTTTTAACATTCTTTAAAAAGTTCCGTATTTATAAAAGTTTTTAATTTGAACTCTTCTTTGTTGTAAAAATACGTAACGTGAATTCAACATAAGAGATTTAAATTTTTTGGAAATACAGGAGATGGGAGCCCTAATATCCCTGCACGAGAGAGAATCTAGAAATTCTAAACTTACTCATTGCCTTTGAGTTTTTTGAAAAATTGGAGGGAATAAGGAGTCATAAAAAGGAATTTAAAATCCACATGTTCATTCTCCCTTTATACACATATACCTACATATATATAGTTATTATAAGATGTACCACGCTAATGGTGATACTAGAAACCTCAACTCCAAACTTTTTGACAATAGACTACCCTTTTATTAATGAAAACTACTTGATCGTTTCCTTTTTTACCATGCGGAGGGCATTGAGTGTAATTATAATCAAAATTTCAAATTTAAAAACTAGCAGTTGCAGTTGAGTAAATTTTTTTTTACAAAATCAGATGCGTCTGAAATTTGTGCGCATTTACATCTCACCATTACAGACCCAAGAAAATATAAGATCAAATATAAAATGACTAAAATAGCCCTGAAATATTTTTAGGGTTTGGTCATTCTTAGTGTTTAAATTATTTTCTTATATTTCATACATGTGTACTTCGCAGAACAACCCCCAAAATTTCAGGTAAATTCGATATGTAAAATCGAACAATAAATAAAAGTTTCAAAAATTTGAAAATTTGGATCATTCACAGACATTCAATGCCCTCCCCAGACTTGATAAAAAGGACAAGATTGAGGTAATTTTAATTAATGTAAGGGCAACTTATTACCAAAAATTTTGGAGTAAAGGTTTCTAAAATCACCATTAGGAATTATAGGATAACCCAACTCCGCCTTGGCAGGCCCCAAGCCCGGGTAAAGGAGGGTTGTCTTAGGTAGGCAGCCAGAGTAAAACTTTGTCAAATCTTATCATGAATCCTAAACCTACGAGTAGAAGAACAGAACAAGATTCATGCATCAACCTCAAATAGTTGGGATAAAGATGATTCTAAAGCAACCCACATCTATCTACTTATCTATCTATCTATCTACATGTGTGTCAAAGTAAAGGATTTGGTTAGTGTTACCTCTACGACATTTATGGAGGGCTGGGATGCAGTTGTTTGGGCCTAAATTTTTACATGCTCTTGGAACCAGAAAACAAGATTATGAACTAAATTTCAATGGAAACCCAGAAAATATTCTCTTTTGAGAGAAGAAGTGCAATTGTCCACTTTAGGAAAGAAAAAATGGTGCAATACCGAGTCCCCAGGGGGATTTGTTTGACCCCAAATTTTGTACATTGCCTCAACATCAAAGATAAACAATAATGAGATAAAACAAAACTAATTATGAGTTCTTTACATCAACCGACCCATCAATTGAAAGATGAACAGCCCATATTCACTATTGGCACAGGATTTTTAAGGCACTCCTAAGGTGCAACTTTTCTTTATTTCTTTCTCTTTTCTTGTTCCTTTAATTTTTTCTTTTTGGGGCATGGTCTCTAGGATGCATAGGGCAAACAGCCTACTAGCATAGGTTTTGAACTACAGTGGACACTGTAGCTATCCAGAGTTCCCCCAGGGGCAGACGAAGTCGCTATATGCTCTAGGAGGAAGCACAACATCAAAAATGCTTTCTTCAAGTTAGAGCTAATTTTTATGCTTTTTCTGGTATTTTATCTCAGTTCTTATGAGCTGTTCACTGACTGGGCCAAGTTCTTTAATTTAGTTCTATGGCCGATGTAGTCACCCATAATAGATTTTTGGAGGGTGAATAGATCTTCTTTCAGGCGATAGCAGGCTTCATTTTAATTTACTTATGATTGGTTTGAGTAAGATGTCAAGGAGCTTAATAAGAACAAAGATTCAAGCCTAAATTGGGAGTCATAAGTTGCATGCTTCTCTCTGGAAGTTCCCTTCCAAATCTTGTCAGAGCTTCATTTAGTGGCCTTCCTTCTGTCATATTTGGTCATCCTTCAAGGTTATATGCTTCTGTCAATTGCAGCATATGCATGCAAGATCCATCTTCAAAATCAATGTGTGTTATGACAAGAGAACAAGACTTTCACCTTCTCATATGGTAATAAGTGATGGAAAATTCAATTTCAAGAATTCACCTTCCACTACAGGAATCCAATATATAATAATACGCTAAAGCTAAACCAGAAACAAGTCAAATTATAAACTTATTCAAAAAAATGAAATAGCAAGCATATTTAAAAGCCACTTGGATTACAAAACTACATCCACCCAAGAAAAACAAAAGATAATTAAAGTGCTAAAAGCACATAACATAATAAAATCTGCATATCCTCGTTTCATGCAATAAAGTTTGAACAAAAATGCTTTTCAAGAGCAAGACAGGTTCAAAAAGCCATTGATGCATGGCAGTTGAGCCATGGAGCTTGTTCAACATGTGTTCCTTCTTCTTGAAACAGCATGTTTGCCCACAATGTCTTCATGTAAAATCTTAACACAAAACCTTCAACCATTTAAAGTGTATGTTATACATTTTTGACATACTTTCATCATTTAAATGTGTCACACTAGTGTTATAACTAATCTCATGTTTAGTAAGAACATTGTAAGTTTCTTATTTATTTATGTTTAGTACCATATTTGGGTTGATCAATTAAACATACTGTACAAGTTTTAGCGAGTGCAGCTCATATCATAGGCTGTCATCACAATTCTCACGAATCAACCAGTACCCTGGAGATTATCAACAAAGTCCCTAACAAAGTCCCTCGCAACAACAATGGTCTTATGGAAGAAGTATCCTAAAAGACATTAATCCCTTTATATACAAGTCGAGAACAACACATTACCTCCTCCCTTCGCAATAAGGTGAAACAACGACCAGGCCGACCTGCCCTGGCAGTTCGGCCAGCACGGTGAATGTATGTCTTGACATTGTTGGGCATATCATAGTTGATAACATTGGCAATCCCATCAACATCCATCCCACGAGTCATAGCATCTGAGGCAACAAGAACCTGTAGCTCTCCAGCTCGAAAGGCATCTAGTGTATTACTGAAATGAAAGTTTTCCATCTTACGGAACAAAACTATTACAAAGTAAAGAATAGATAGCAATCAGATGACAAGAAAAGTTGTCTGATACATATCAAAAATTATATAATGACAGCATAACCTGCATGTACATACAATCATGCTAGTTAAACATAAATTATCACACAAACAGAAAAATATACCTCCGAACAGATTGACGCTGAAGTCTCGAATATTGACTTATCTTGAGTGGCAACTCAGTAAAGCATTTTAATAGGATGCTTAGCCTCTGTGTTGACTCTATGGATGATGTAAAAATGATACTTTTCTCTTCTTTCAAGCCTTGTAGAAGTGCCACCAGATACAAGGGTTTAAGCTTTGATTCACAGAACTGCAACTCAAAATGAAAATTGAAATAAGCCAAGACTAACTGTAGTACGACAAAAAACCAGAAAGTCAGACATGCAAATTAGAGTCAGTATAATGCATCCATTTGAAAATGTCTAGATGTAACAAATCAAGACTCTAGTATAAGTTGAGCATATACTGATACCGTCACAATATGACACTGACATCAATACCATATACTTCTATGTAAAACATGATATAAACATAAAAATGTATTAAGAATAAAATATAAAAATTTATGATATATGTAAGTTCTCACTATTAAAATAGATAATATAATACATGTAGAACATAAAGTGAATATTTTAAGGAAATTTTACCAAAATATAGATCACTTTTAAAGTCGTCATCATCATCATTGAAGCTTTTTCCCAATTAATTGAAGTACATGAATCCTAGTCTGTCATTCTACTTTATTAAGGGTCATACCTTCAGGGACACCATAAGTCCCTATATCTTTTCTCACTACTTCCAACTATGTCCTTTGGGCCTACCCCTTGCCCTTTTCAAGCCTTCTACTTGAATTAACTCACACGTCCTAACAGGTGCTGTACTGAGTTTGCGCCACATATGGCCAGCCCACCTAAGTCTAATTTCTCTCATCTTATCACCTATTGGTGTCACACCAAAATTCTCTAGAATCTATTCATTTCGAATTCTATCGCTTCATTTCGAATTATCCAAATATCGATCACTTTTAAAGTATTTAACATTTTATTATTTTCTAATATTCTAACTCAAAATCATGTGTATTTCGATGGATATTTTGAAATTAAATCAACAGAGATGCTAAAATCTTCAATAGATCATACTTTAGCTATAAACAAACTCCACATGGTTTAAAGATCGTTTTAAGGGTAACGATCCAATAGAAAGTTGCCAAGAAGTTACATGAAGTGAGAGTCCACAAATGTTGCTTCATATCCAACTTCGAGATTACTTCAGTAATTGCCATTTATAACTTATTTGCATCCCAAGGTTGAATAAAGAACCAAAAGTTGTGGACCTTTTCTTATACTAACACTCAAAGGAACTTTTTACTACAAAAATATATTTCCCTATTTTAAAATACAGTAAATGACTTCATGGACCCAGGGTCCAAAGTGTTCATTTGGACATGTTGGTCATGCTCCACCATAGAAATGCTTATAGGACCCTAAAGCTCTCAAACGATCTTTACAACACACTAATATCTTTTTCTTTTTTTTTTTTGAGAACAAGACACTAATATCATTTCACTGAAAAAACAAAAAAAGATTTTGAGCTCAAAAAGTGACCCAAATCAAACTCTCCTCCAATAACAGATCTGGACCATCCATTTGATTGGCATCAGATCTGGGGAATTTGGAGCTCAAAGGCAATTTCTTTAATTGATCTAGGGATAAATCAAGGATTATTCGAAAAGATTTTAGGTCATCAAAACATCCCTAACTATGTGTTTTAGCCATGCGTCCAAATGTATCCATCAAATATGCACCCTTGAGATGTATGAAGTACCAAATATATATTAATATAATAATGAAACACAGTGTATCTTTACAAATACACCATAATGTATAATATACAATACTGTGTTTAAATCCTAACTACACACACGCACACATACTGTGACAATTGAGATATCTCAATGAATTGTTTTCCAATATATGCATGTTTATTCATATCATGGACTTTGGAAAATGTCAATGTCTCCTCCCCTCTCCCTAAAACCTGCATCCCTATTTAATATTTTCATTCATATGACAAGCAATACCAGTTTGATTGATTCGAGCTGTTCAGGTAGTTGGTAACGTTTCCTTGACCCACCACTCGTCATGAGCAATGGATGGTGCAGATCAAGCTGAGAAAGCTTGCTAGGATCCCGGGTTAGCGTTGCTGAAAGAATCATCTTCACAAGTCTTGGGTAACATTTACCATTGAAATCCCTCTCCACACCCCTGGGTAGTATACCATGGCAATATAAATGTAAAATAGCCATGTTAAACAGCACTTTAAAAATTTATGTTTTAAATGGATAAAAAATTAAAAACATGAAATTACATTCTCCTTATGGTCGTCAAGCAGGTCGTCAAGCAGCCAGGCATTCTGTAGTTTGCAGCACTTCTTGGACAGGCAACCATCCTTTTTGTATTCAATTGAGATAGATGAAGCACAGTGGGCAACCATGACTGATACGCCTCTCTAAGTAATCTATCAGTTTCATCAACTACCTGTATATTTTTTTATCCATGAGTCTCTGCAGCATTGCTGTTACAATAATTTGTAATTATACAAATATGTAGAGAGAGAAAGATAGAGAGAGAGAGAGAGATGAATCTCCAAATATGAGCACAATTGAACAAGATAGAATGTCACAGCTTGAATATAACTAAGCCCTGATTTTGTTGGTTTGGTGACGTGTACAGAAAGAATCATAGTGGATCATACAATTTAGTGGGAGTGTGTGTATTGATTGACTGAACTACGGTTAGCTTCTCTAAGGCCCTGATCATATCCATAACCCCTCACCTTAGGCATATGGCACTACTGAAGAGATTTCAAGAGGGTGATCCATTGTCGGAAAGATGCCCAAGGATGGTTTGCAGGCCAAGGGAGTTTCGTGATCCCCTATATGTAGATGTAGGCCCGTGAGAGCGAGGGCTAATCCTCAGAAAACTTCTACACGGCATGTACATATGACAGCCATATATAGAAAAGCAACCCTCCAAAGGGATACGTGTAGATATGCATAAAACGATTCCCCCTTGCACTGTAGTGATACGTGCACGTGAGTTGCTATTAAGTGGGGGAACCTGTAATCCACATTATGAAATTGTGGTTTCACTATTTATTGGCCAGCTTTCACAAGCCAATCATGAGTTCCTGCATGGAACCGTAGGTCATGGGTCTCGTTGGGTTGGTTTGAGAAGATAGTCGATGTCCAGAATTACTAGACCGAGTGGAGTGCTCTAAATGTCGATTTTCTTGAGTCATAGCTGCTAATTCACATTTAGAATTTTTTGGGTTTCAGTCTTTAAAATGTTTGTGATTTTTAGAAATTTCTCAAGAATGTTTTAGAATCCTTTTCAGCAAATAAAAAACCCTAAAAGGGAGTTTTCTAATTTCCAAAAATCCTAGGGCATTGTGGACTCTATGTGGGGGGCGAAGAGTCTAGCCCCACTTGTTGGGGTCCCCACATGGGGGTGGGACATGAGGTGCACATAGCCCACACATCCTAGCCTAGGGAGGATACCCATGTCTTTTCATTTTTGTTAAGGAATAAGTTATGTCTTTTAATTATTGTTAAAGAAGTAAACCTCCTGAAATCTTTGAAAAAGATTTTGTGTGCTTAGTTTGAGGGAGTAGAGAATATTTTAGGTTTGAAAATTATTCTTTAAAATCTTTTTTATTTGACCAAATCTCTTTGACTTTGAATTCATACAATCTCTTTGTGAGAGAAGAGGAAGCTCTAGTCAAGATAGAAGATGTTTTGTATCCTAGGTCGACTAGAAGTGGATATGAGTCAAATAATTAGGGGATAAGGTTCCTAGATTCCTCCCTAATCATGATGGCTAATTCACAGGATGGATGGCTCAGATTTGTTTCTCTCTCACCTCATAGCTTACCTGGAACTCCTATGGCAGGAAGAATTCTATATCAAATAGGCATACCTCGACCCACCTTGGAGGCTATAAATTGAGGTAGACCCCCGTCATTGTCACCATATGAACTTCTAGCTTGTCTCTCTCTCCCCTTCTCTCATCTCCACGCCTCTCTCCCTCTCTCTTCTAAAGTCCCAATGGTGTGGCATGCACCACCCTAGAAATCCTGTCCACAAGGTTTCATAGAGGGGCACGCCCAATCCATTCCTAAAAAGGGAAGGTGCCACTTGTGGCATACCTTAGAGAGGTCCAAAAGGGTCTAGAAAAAATCCTAATTTGTTTATGCTCTCAAACCCTAGTTTCTGAAAAAGGTATTGCGGCTATGCCTAAAGGAGCTTCCCAACTCAGACAATTCAGCGGGGTCAATAGGATCCGAGTATGCCATCGGTAAGGTAATCAGGTGTGGGGTGTACCAAGTCCTAAAAGGATGCCAGGCAAAGTCAAGTAAGTCTCCCGGCAATTCGAAGTTTATTTTTAGTCAGTTTTGCAATTTATTGCAATTTCCAGGAACAGTATTTGTATAAGAATTTATAGTTAAAGCTTGTACTCAGTCCTGGATTGAGTTATATTTATTTGACAATAAAAAGAAAAGATCCTAGGTTGTATTTAGGGTTTTGTTTATTATTTACAGCAGTGTTTCGTGGAACTTAAGAGCAGTGTTTCGTAGCACTTAAAGAGTGGAATTCAGATATATTAATAAAAAAAAGGAGAAAAAAATTATTTTTATTCTATGGAATTCCACATAGCCAGTTCTTTCAGATTTTTCACGACTTACTGTCATTGTAAATACGATGATACCATATATAATCAGTTATAACGAACCAAAACATGATGTGAAAGATTAAAAGGCATGTAGGAATTGGAAGGTACACAGAACAAATGGGATTCATCTGCCAGCTTATAGAGTAACATGATAATGTGTCTTGGCTCCAATGTTCCATGGAAGATGGGCCAAGAGACAAACATCAGGGTCAGAAATAACAAAAAATTAAGGGTGTGCACATTCTGTGTTTAAGAAAAGATTTCCCCAATTAAACATTGCAAGCATGCACAGAATAAGCTTGTGATTCTTCTAAAGTGATGCTCTCATAGTCCAAGTTCGAACAATCTAAAGACTATTTTGGAAAAGAAAATCTCCCATGGTTGGACAAGCTCTTCACGAATATGGGATAATGGAGCAGGATGCGCCTTAACAGTCAGGAGCCAAGTCCAAAGAAAATCAGTGCTCACCAGAGGACAACAAACACCCCGTATCCTGAAGATGAATTGTGAGAACAGCTATGCAGTTCACAAACTATGGAAGATTAAAACCTGAAACTAATACAGCAGAAAATCGCCTCCTAAGCTTATCAAGTATTCTAAACATATCACTGTGTTGGAGGCACATAAGTGGCGTCAATCTTAATTTGGAGAACTCTGAGCAATATGCAAGCTTTCAAAGAACAAGAGGACAGAATCTCGGGAGAACTTCCAATTTAAAGCCTAAGCACTAAAAGACCACTAGATCAGGCACTTCTAGGTTCTCATGAATCACAAATAATGGGAAACCAAATAAAAGTTTGTGGCATGACAAGGAAGAGTTTTTATTGGATAAATATGAACCAATGAAAACGCATATAACCATCGAGCTTCCATTTATACCAGAAATAACTAAAACGAATCATTGAATCTACTAAGGAAAAATTGAAAATAAAGTACTGAACTCCATTTAGTTGGGAACTGCTTTCTCAGCATTCATTGACTGGAGAATTGAGAGCATGTTGAACTTGAGGGCAGTGGTGTTCTCCTTTCTCTTCCACTCAAACTTTACAAAAGGTGCAGAAAAGAATGTATAAAATGGATCATTCAGAGGATTCTCAAAAGGAGATGAAGATAGTGTGGTGGACTCAGATTGGTAGACTGGGTGCTCTCTCTCATCCATAGTTTGAAAAGACTCAGGAAATATCTTAGTGAGGGTTGGAATACAAACAGAAGGAATTGCCGCCCTAGTTTGACATTGGGCGGTATTCCTCGTCATCTAAGCAGTAGGAATTTTTTTTTTTATGGCAGTTAAAAAATTGCTTTAATTGTTGGTTTTGAGTGTGTCTCCGAGATGTTAGTGGAGTCATGCTATGATGCACTCTAGATCCTTTACTTATGGCAAATTTCAAAATGAAAAGCACATCAGTGGCTTTCCACAGGATTACATTATCCATGCTTCCATGTCCGATTTCACAGCAATTTGACATTGAAAATGATGATAGGCATGAAGTGGGCCTTTTTCTTTTGATAACTGGCGACAATGTATTGATCCATAATGCATAAATTTACAGAAGGACCCACAAGTTGCAGAAAAAGGCAGTAGCCCACATGCCGGGAGCAATGTAAAGTTTGGTAGCACTGTTAGGAAAGGTATTTGGGCCCTTAGAGGAAAAAAGAATTCATAAAGTATAGGGAAGGGAGAGAGAAAGGAGTGGAGGTAGGGACAGCAAGAGAGAGAGAGAGAGAGGCAGTTTAAAGAGGTGGTTAAGGAACCAGGAGGAGAGAGGGAAAGAGACCAGGTGGGTAGACAATCTCAGGAAAAAAAAATAGGGCACTCGGTATTTTCCTAGGAAGTAGGTCGGTGACAAGGAAGAGAGGTCGAAGGAGTGGTGGAATAGGTGGAGAGCTTTCCACGGGTTCAGTGGATAGGGTTTTGGAGGTAGTAGATGCTGGAAAAACAGAGTTGAAAGAGATGGGAACCTTTTGGTTCTTTTTTTCTTTTTTATTTGGCGGGGGGGGGAAGGGGGGGGGGGTTTGGGAGAGGATTGCTTAGGAAGGCAATCAGGGTTGTGGTAGGGTATAAACCAGAGTTCAAAAAGGTAGAGGCGCCCACCTAGGTGGCCAGGGGCCCTGACTGCCTAGGCAGATGGCCCTGTGGTGTTGGAGTGGGGGGGCCATGTATCTGTTATTTGTGCCTGAGGTGTGTGAGTGCATGTATGTGTGTGCCGCATGTGTAAAGCCTCGCATGAAATACTAAAAGATCATTTGTGGGTGTGCATGTCTATGTGTGCACGTGTGTAAGTCCTCGCAGAAAATACTTAAAGATCATCTTTTCCTTCTTATCTTATATGTAGAGTAAGAAAGATAGAGCATATGGATACATGTTTGTGAGAGAGAGACCTTGAACACTATTCTTTTTCTTCTTCTAATATGCCAAGATCAAGAGATAGCGAGAGAGGGAACTCGCATCACGCACTTGGAGGTCATCTTCTTCTTTTTCTTTCTCTTACATGTAAAGAGAGAGCATATGGGTCCATGTGTGTATATATGTGTGTGTGTGAGAGGAAAGAGGCCTTCAACCAAACACTTGGAGGCCATCCTCTCTTTCTTCTTATATGTAGAGAGAGCACATGGACCCATGAGAGTGTAAGCGTGGGGGAGGGAGAGAAGGGCCTTAAATGAGACTTGACTTTTATTTCTTTCTAAGACGACTTTCATAAAATAAAAAATAAAAAAATTAAGGAGTCTACACAAGGCGGCCGCCCAGACCCGCCTAGGAGGTGCCTTGGGCATGCCAGCCAAGACCCCCCCCCTGTCTAGGCATAGCCTAGGCGGATTGTTGGTCACGCTGCCTAGGCGGCCAGGCGGCTGACTTTTTCAACACTGATATAAACTACGGTGAGGGGGGTCAGGGGTTCAATGTGGGAAAGGAATGATTGTTGGAAAGGGAATAATTGTTGGGGGAGCTCCTTTGGACATGAAGTGTCAGAGGAGTGAGATTGGGATTTAGGTGTTTGGGGCTAGATGGGACAGGTAGCGTTCAGTGGGTGTGCACATGTAATGTAAAAGAATTTTGTACGGTGTTCTGCATTTCCACTTCATTTGGAATCTCTAGAGGGAGGTGGCTGAGTAGTCTCCATCAACGTTTTTGACGCAGTATGTGTTGGGATGGGAGAGATATGGCCAAATGTGAGCAGCTTGTTAAGTATGGTGTGTTTTGTGCGTCTAGAGTATGTGCCATTGTCTTACGATAGCCATGTCAGATATTATTATCATATTGAGGTTGACATATGACCGTTTGTCAAAAGGGGTCCACGTTATTAAAATGTGAGCATCGTGCATTAACTGAGAGTGCAAGGCTGATGATGAACCGGGCTTGGGGGGAATAGTATTTTGTGCTATCCCCTTGTGCCATGTCACATTTAAGGAGGCATGACACTCGGTTGCCACCTTGGTCAGTTCTTGGGGTTGGTGGGGTATAGGGTACTGCGTAAGTTGAGAGTTTAGGAATAGGATGGGGTGGTGATGCGTTGTTATTAGAGTAGAGAGGGTGTCAAGATGGGACAAGGGTTGGGCCAGGGTGGAGGGCTAGGAATAGGCTGGTGGGAGGGTCATGTAGGGGTGCCAATGTGGAGTGAGTAAGGTCGTGGTGAATGCAGTTAGATGACATGGAGGGGTCCTGATTTGATGGATCATGGTTCAAGTGGGATCATGTGGAAGAGTAAGAGGTCAGCTTTGAGGTGTTAATGTGGGCCGTTGGATTGGGAAATTGGTAGCTGATGCTGATATGGCGATCTACAAAGTTTGTAGAGATTTGCCACATCTGTTCTTACTTCTTCGCTTGGGATGTCGGTGTTTGCAGATCACCATGGTCCGGTCCACCTGTGTAATCTCTAGATCTGCGGTCTTGGGAGTAGATAAGGGTACTTGGTGGACTGCAATGGCATTGATAGGGTTAAACAGGTTGTTAGGATTAGACTGGCACACTTGGTGGTTGGCAATGGTGTTGCGAGATTTAAATACCTGAGTCGAAATGGTCATGGAGTAGAACCGAACTCCAATTTGGAGGGCAAACTCTTTTGCCAAGGACTCCTTGAGTGGAGTTTGAATTAAAATGATGCGAGATCAGTCCTAAATGGTAGTTTTTGGAAGGTTTTGCTCCACCATGCGGAAACCACTGCAGTGATCCCTAACGGCTTCGATAGTGGAGTGGTGCCAGGCAAGCATGGGAATACCTTGGACAGGATCCAGAATCTTCTTTGAGGAAAGGCAATGAAATGGGGCCTCGAAGATAGAAGTTAGAAGTTCCCCCCTCAAAAGTGTAGCTTCTTGCTAGCAGTGGCAATATCGGCCATCTCCTTCTTTAATACAAATGTTAACATTTCTCAAAAAAAATATCGGCCATCTCCTTCAAGGCGAAGGAAATGAGATGCGTTTTCTTTTGATATTGGATGGCATGTGATTTGGGTTGATTTTCCAAGTGACTGCAGTCCAATTTTGAATATTTTTTTGGTCATCCCAGGGAGGACTGAATTGAGCAATGAAAGAATTTTTGAGGTCTGTTCTTTGAAAAAAAGCACCTTGGATCCGTGAAAACCCTTGAACCAGGTGGCAAAGGGGAAACTGGATGGTTGTTGGTTGATATGTATGTGCTTTGAGTATTAAGGGTTTTGATATGCTATTGATTGGATGATGTTGTGGGCTGGCTGACTTTGCTGCATTGGCATAAGACTGGTAGAGAGGTGGTAAAACTATTAGTTTGGGGTTGTTGGACTTTGGTGGTATGTAGTATATTGTGTTAGGTGGGGCTACATTTGGTTGTGGGAAGTGCAAGGGTCGAGCTAGCACCTGATTGTGGGGTGCTATCGCTTGCGTTATGTGGTGTTTGTTTGGGATGTGATGGTGGCCTAGCGCAAAAAATCCCATGCAAGAGTGTTGGTGGACGCAAAAAACCCCATGCAAGAGTTGCTGGAGAGTGGGCTGTCATGGTGCCTCAGAAATATTTCCTTAGTATAGCAATTGTGCAAGTGTTGTCGCAAACAATGGGAGTATGTGAACTCAAATTTATGAGTCAGTTGGGGGTGATTGATGTTGGGCACCGCCTAAAGGCCTCTAGCTCTTTCCTTCACTCACTTATCTACATGGTTGGAATGACAATAGGTTCCAATAAGAACCTTTGTCTTATAGTAAAATTGTAAGTACAATGACTGATGATCCACACATATATAAATATGGATTAGAAAAACCCAAATCAACAATTAACAACAAATTTATCATGTAGAAGTAAAATTCTGATGTGGCACAAAGATCTAAAAATCCTGTGCTCTTTTTGGTTATATATATATTTTCTACACAACTTATCAATGGCATGAAAGAAAACCACAACACAATTTCCAACAGTGATCTGGTCATCACTCATTGAAGCTTTCATTCTACATAACACTATGTTTGATCAAAAAAATTACCGTAGGAATTTGTTCAGAACAAGCTCACCCAGGTGAAGTTCATTTGGGTAATGAATATAAGCACGGTTGAAGCAGCACGCACAATAGCTGTCCCAAGAACTTTGACAGAAAGTTCTAATTTATGAAGAAGGTGAAATATTCATCTCCATCCCATGAAATACAGGTAAACTAACATCCCCAATATATATTTCTCAAAAGCGACTACTGTGTTGGTAAACCACTCTTGGGCTCCTTGACCAGCATTGCAACAGTCCAACTGATAATGACAACAACCAGTCAAATTAATGACGCCTGTTAAATAATTTTCTTAATTCATGATTAGGGAAGATAACTCTGTCGTTTCCTTGTTTTTCTTTTTTCTTTATTACTGTTTAAATGGTGGAGTCCGTTTCTGGAGATTACAGTCGGTTTTGTAAAACCTCTTCCTCACCAAAAGTGCGAGTATGACATACAGCAATCGCCAAATCACCTTTTTGGGTAAGAAAGGGTGTTTCAGGAACCTCCCCTTCATCCCAAAATGGATTGCATCCTACCTCCATTTATACTCTCTACCTCCATTTATTCTCCCTCGCTTCTTCCCTCTTTCAACAAGTGGAGGAACCCTTTCGTTTTCAATATATGAAATGATGTAAGAATATTCCAGCCATTTTTGTTTAAAGAATTTCACTTGTATTAGGCAGCAGAAGCCAAGACTACCCAGTTCATGCATACACCAGCCAATTTGATTCAAGGGCTAGTTAAGGTCAGTATTCACCGGGTTAGATAGGTCCTTTGTCATTGCCACCCTGGTGCTCGTGCTCGGCAGTAATGGATGTCTATCCAATATAAGAAATCCAGTTTTTGCAATAATTAAACCAACACTAAAAAGTATAGTGTTGGTGGTTGCCCCCTTGACAACCCGGTACCCTCAGGTATAGGGGGGCTCCTTTGTCCTAGTGATGGAAGCATTCTGATGTCTTTCTCTTGTCCTATTGGAATCGCGAACTCCACCCTTGCCAAGGCCCTTGCCCTCTTGGAGGGCCTTTGGAAGTGTGACCCATCGGAGTCACAACCTGATAGTGGAAGGAGATGCCAAGAACATTATCACCTGGGTATCTCATCGATCAGATTGGCTGTGGTGTCTCAACGACATTTTTGAAGAAATTTTGTTAATCACCAGAGATTTCAGAATCACTTGGCAGCACATAAATAGAAAGGCAAACTCAGAAGCTGATAGGTTGGCTAAGGAGGAGACATCCAGTTCCGCCTTGGGGACCTAAAGCCACTTTCCCTCTCTACCTCCCAGTGTAGTTTTTTACTTTTGGCATTTTGTCAGGACCCTGTTTGGTCCTTTATACAGTGACCACCGGGGTCACTAAACCCCTTGGAATTTTGTTTCCTCTTTCTAATGAAATACAGTGAACTTTATTGTAAAAAAAAAAAAAACATTACTAAAAGGTATAGTTACTGATGTTTAACCAAAGAGAAAATGGACTTCCAAAACTTACAATAAGAACGGAAAGTAAAATAAACAATTCACAAAGTTGGACATCACATAACCAATTACCATCAACCTGTTTCTCCATCTAAGATTCTAAACTTGAAATATCTATCCACAATTCCATGAACCTTATATTATCAATAAAAGAAAACATCCAGGATCTTCCTATCAAAAGAAACAAAATAGATAACACTTACCAAATAACAAAGATGTTCCAGAGTGAAACCCTTTGTTGTGTTAACATGATCCATTAGCCTACCAGGAGTCGCTATTAGTATGTCCACAGAACTTCCCATGGATGTCTCCAACTGCAGGTCTTCTGGATCATAAGCATTAGAGAATTCAAATGCTGGCTTCTTTACAAGTTCTGCTATCTCATCTGTTATTGATGTTTGACCTACTGCCAAACCCACATGTAAGCCCACTGCAGGTGCAATAGCGGCAAATACTTCCTTAACCTGTAGGACAATGCAAACAGAACTACAGAGTTAGGACTTCCTGCACATTCTTAACCAACCAACTAGAAAAGAGAGCTTAATACAAACACATAATATTCAATATTTTCAAACCTCACTAAAAAATTGCCATGCTACCTACAAGCTGAGACAATTAAGAATGAGGGAACTCAAGATACAAGCATGCATCTGTATGTGAAGTAAAAATAGTTTGGCAAAACAAATGCTTAAAAAATTGTGAACTTTTGAATAGGGATAAGCTAAGCCATTTGGAAGGCATCAAGAGGCAAGGGGATGTGATGGAGCTTTTAGCAAATGGTAATAATGTAGAGTCACAAGCCATAGGGCAGCACACGGGCAGGAGAAGTGGGTGGTTTGGCAGGGAACATCAAAGGGATGAAAACATGGACAGTTCACCGTGGGATTTGAACCCAAGTCCATGTCAAATCTATTTTATTCTACTATGGGAGCTATGAACTTCAGTCATCAACTCATGCCTCTCCCAACTAACTGGCCTACAGAATAACTCCACCGAAACAAACATTTCTTCTTCATTTCCTCCCAACTTAGAGAGATCTCAAATTAGTCAGTTCCTAAAATGCAACCCATCCAAACTAACCTCAACTTACCAGGTTTCCACCACTATTCACGGAAAACTCTTCCCAATCTTTGTCAGCCCCTAGCAGAGAAGCCATGTCAAAACTCAAAAGTTGGAAACCAGAAAATCTAACCCATCCCGGTGGAGTATCCCTTATCAACCATACCTCTACCCACTCACACATCACCGGTGCTCAACTTTCCAACCATCCACAACCACCATTAACACCCTAGAGAAGCTCTATGCAGATTTTCTTTCAAGTAACTAACAAAAGTAAAGACACTGAAACCTTGTCAAAAGGAGCACCATTTGCAAATCAAAGAGTGAAGGTGGACTTGGCATAAAAAAAATCAAATAAATTAACAAGTCTTGACTACCAAAATATGGGTCCGAATTGGAGAGTGGAACACAATCCATGCGGTCAGAACTAATAGGGACAAAACATATTTGCAGACATCATATAAGAACCTCAAGAGCCACAACGAGAGACTCTTGAGCTTGGAAAGCCATATACAAAACTCTCCCATTAGTTATATGTCACAGCCAGAGGGCCTTAGGTGATGATGGGTTTGTTGATAGGCTCACAAGGATTCCCAATGATAATAGTGATTTTACCCCATGTAGTACAGTGAAATACTCCAACAATCAGAGAAAGGGGCCAGAAAGAAGAGGGGGGGGGGGACACTAGCGGCCATATGGAAAAGACTGATACACCATAGAGCCTCGGGGGAGTGGCCATATGGAAAAGACCGATACACCCTAGGGCCTATTGGTTGTAATGGTGAGCCTTCCAAAAGTCGGTAGTTACAATGGATAGAATGCAAAGATGGCGACTCCAATTGAGCAGCACATGTCGCATGTTTAAGCACTTTCTTATACAATGCTTATGTACAATGGTGTATGTTGTTTGCGGATGACATAGTTTTGATCAATGAGACTAGAAGCGGCATCAATGCAACGTTAGAACTTTGGGGGGATGCTCTAAAATCTAAAGGTTTTAAAATTAGCTGGACTAAGATAGAATATCTGGAATGCAAGTTTAGTAATAATAAAAGTAGAAACAAGGAAGTAGCTAAGATTGATGGGCAAGAAATACCTAAAAGAGTAGGCTTCATCCTTCAGGAGTAGGTGTCGTCTGTAGGAATCACCTGGGGGAACCAATAGCAACCATATCCAAATTTATTAGTCACAAGGAATCCATGGAGGCAGAAGCTTTAGCACTCCTAGAAGGCATTAGGCTTCTCTCACTTCATAGGATTGAGACCGTAACAGTAGAGAGAGATTCCAAGAACGTGATCACTTGGGCCCAAAAATTCTCTTCCACTCCCTCAACTTTGTTTCACATCTTTGACGAAATATTCCACCTTTGTAGGGGAATTCAGGCCTTCTGGAAGGACACGTGGAGGGAATCAAACCACGACGCAGATACCCTGGCCAAAGCAGCAGCTATCTGTGAAGGACTTCTTTTATTTTTGGATGGGTTTCTTCGTGAAGGACGGCTTAGTTTTTTGGATGGGTTTCTTTTTGTTGGTTGCTTTGTTCTCAATTTAACCCTCTAAAAGATGACCTTTTAATTCAATCTCCTCTCCTCTCTCTTCTCTCTCTCTCTCTCCCCCCTGTACCTCTACTAGTCTCTTGTGGCTAGCTAGCTTCCTCGGCCTTACCCTGTTAGGACCCTTTACTATATATTAAAGTTAACATTCTCAAAAAAAAGAAATACCTAAAAGAGAGTATTTTCGATATCTTGGATCTATAATCCAGGAAAATGGAGAGATTAAGGAAGATGTCATCATATAATTAGAGTTGGGTGGGAGAAGTAAAGATGTGCCACTAGAGTTTTATGTGATCGCCGCATTAACAATGAAGCTGAAAGGGAAGGTTTGCAAAACAACCATGAGACCAGCTTTGCTTTATAGGACGGAATGTTTGGCGGTTAAGAAACAACATACCCATAGGATGAGTATAGCTGAGATGAGAATGTTGAGATGGAACAGTGGCAAAACAAGAGAGGATAGAATTTGAAATGAATACATTCAAAGGAACTTAGGAGTAGCTCCAATAGGCAACATGATGAGGGAAAGTAGACTTAAGTGGGCTGACTATGTGCAGCATAGACCCAATACAGCACCAGTTAGAAAGTGTCGTTTAGGTCAAGTGGAAGGCTATAAAAGGGCAAGGGGAAGGCTGGCGACTTATGGTCTCACTAAGGTATGGCCCTTGATAAGGCAGACTAACAAGATTTGTGTAGCCAACTCCAAATAGTTGAGATAAGGTTCTAATGATGATGATGATGATGATGATGTCACATGTGTAAGGTCGATAATGAGATCGATGACCACATATTCATCTCATGCAAATCTGTGAATAACATACAAAATCATACTGTGGAGATTCCATACTAATGCAATAGCAAGCCGAAGCATCCCACGTCTCCCAGCAAATTGGTTCAAAAAGAAATTCACAATTAAAATCCTCACCAAACTTCAAAAAGTCTCACTCCTATGACCATATGGTTCATTTAGCAAGAAAGAAATGAAAGGTTGAAAGAAGATCTCAACTAATCATTACAACGGGTTCTAAGGGAGATAACATGAAAGATCAAAAATAGCATCCAGATACCACATTTGTTGCAAAAAAGGATGAACAAGAACGAATCACTTATAGATAGGAGATCGAATTTCGGAACACACTTTAATGCATATATTGAGAAGTTTATGTGCATAGAAAGCTTGTAAGAGCCCATTGAGACCCTTTATTGGAATTATTACCCACATTTACATCCTTCATGCATCAATACAACATGTGTGAAATACCCACCCAAACCCTCGCTAACTTAGTGAAAAAAGAAAATATGGATGCTTTTATCCCCAAATAGATGCTTGTTAGGAACTCAAGTGCCACACTAAGATAATCTTAGAGGGAGGTATACAATTGATGTTAGGAGGGAAGGAGGTTGTGACATTGGTGCAATGAGGGCCTAAGGGATTAACATGGTTTAGGATCTGGTAGACACTACAAGGACAGGGATAGGGTTGGTGCTTTTAAGATTGGATGAGTTTATGAAGGTCTTCAATTTATAAGAGTCTTCATTTAGACCCTAGTCCCTATATTCCTCGAACTCTTCCCCCAGACTTGGAGGAGTTTCATCAATTATCTGCCCCTGAAGACTTTGCTGCGCAACAATTCTATCTACAACTTTATCGACAAAAGTGATGTCTCATCTACAACTTGGATTTATGGGTCGACTATAATTTCACGATGCAATGGCACTTCCCTTTTACCTGAAAACCAGCATCCATAAAATGAGAAGGCATAAGCATCCCACATTCATCAAAGGTTACATGTCTCAAGATAAGAAGTCTTTTCAATATAGGACTATAACACACATATCCCTTGTATTCCTCAACGTACCTTATAAAAACACTAACATATGCCTTTGGGGATACCTTATTTCTTTTACTCTTCACAATATGAACATATGCACAACATCCAAACAAGCACAACATGGACTAATCAAGGTCCTTCCCAAGTAGAACTTAGAAAGACCATTTTCCATGCAGAAAATATATAGGCAACCTATTGATGAGATAAAACGCTGTATGAAATGCTTCTATCCATAAAAATTTAGGAACTCCACCCATAAACATCATGGATAATGCAACGTCATTGATATGCCTATGTTTTCTCTTTGCTACTCCATTTAGCTCAGGTGTGCGCAAATGATATATGTTGTTTCACCCCTTATTCTTTAGATAAGCTTTACAATTATGGAATTAAAACTCTCCCCCTCCATCACTACAAAAGTAGACATATATGTTTTGGCAAGTGTTTTTTAACAAAGATTTTCAATTCCATAAAAATGCCAAGAAGATCAGGTTTTTTCATAAGAGAGAATATCCAGATGAAACGAGAAAAATCATCCCCAAATGTATCACCATATAAAGAACTAGATAAAGAAGACTATGGACCCCAAACATCAAAATGAATTAATTGAAATGGCGCAGAAGCTCTTTTATTATGAATCATAAATGGAAGTTTCAAATGTTTACCCAACTGACATCCATGACACAAACGACAATTAAATCTCAAGATTAGAGGGAATTAAGCCCTCTTTACATAATTTATTCGAACACTGGGGACTGTAATGACCTAAACGATGATGCCAAACACTAGCATCTTTATTGACACAAAGGGAAGAAAGAACAATGAGAGCTTCTTCTTGACATGATCATCAATAATATAAAGTTGTCCCCAACAATACCATTTCGCGCATGTTGACCCTGATTGTTATTCCTTCAAAAAACAAAATTTGGAGTAAATACCCATGAAACAAAATTTTCACGGGCTAACCGAGAAATTGAAATAAGATTTTGACACATTTTAGGAAAAACGAATACATTAGATC